GAATCCTTGAATTCCTTAAACTTGAGAATAAGACTTCTTGACTTTGGCAAACAAATTAAATTTCAGCACAGGTATCAACCAAACAAAAAAATTTCTATTCCTGATGATCATCTAAACATGAATGTATTTTTACTGCTACCTAAACTTTCTGGAAATCAATTCATATCTGCTAGATGAGAGCATATTATATTGTAAGTCATATTATACTGTAAGATAATAAAAATTCACCCACTCCTAACTGCCATATATCAATCAGCAAATAAGCATTTATTAAGCACCTACTATCTACCAGGAACTGTCTTAAATATTGGGGATATGAAAAAGAGGCAAAAAACAATCCCTGCTCTCAAGGAAATCATAATCTATTAAGGGGAGAGAACCAAATATGTACAAACAAGCTATATACAGGATAAATAGTAAATAATTAAGAGGCAAGGCACTAGAATTAAGTGGAGTTAGGAAAGGCTTCCTGTAGAAGATGGGATTTTAGTTGGGACTTGAAAGAAGCTTGGGAAGCCAGGAGGCAGAGATGAGGAGAGAGAACATTCCAGGCATGGGGAACATCCAGTGACAATGTTCAGTTCTAAGAGATGAAGCGTCTTCTTTGTGTAATAGTAAGGTGGTCACTGTCAATGGATCAAAGAGAACATGGGAGAGATAAAGGTGCAAAAAGACTGGAAAGGTGGGGTGGGAGAGAGAGTAAGTTATGAAGGGCCTTGTACACCAAACAGAAGATTTTGTATTTGATTCAGAAGGTGCTAGGGAACCACTGGAGTTTACTAAGAGAATGACATGGATGGATCCATGCTTTAGGAAAATCACTTTGGCAGTTAAATGGAAGATGTAGTGGAGTGGGGAGAAACTTGAGGCAAGCAGACTCACCAGAAGGTTATTGAAACCGTCCAAGAGTGTGGTGATGAAAGCCTGTTACCACAGTGATGGCAATGTCAAAGGAGAAGAGGGAACAGAGTCAAGAGATGTTGCAAAAATGGCAAAATCAACCGGCTTTGGCAACAGATTGGATATGGAGGTGAGAAACAGTGTAGAGTTGAGGTTGTGTATCTGGGAAACTTGGAGAATGGTGGTGTCCTCCACAGTAATAGGGAAGTTTGGAAAGGGGTAGATTTAGAGGGAAAAGACAATGAATTCAGTTTTGGAAATGTTGAGTTTAGACATCCAGTTCAAGATATATCTGAAAGGCAGTTGGAAATGTGAGACTGGAGACCAGCAGAGAGGTTAGAGAAGGATATACAGATCTGAGAATCATCAACATAGAAATAATTAAATCCATCAGAGCTAATGAGATGATCAAGTGAAATAATATAGAGGCAGAAGAAAAGAGCCCTGTGGGACACCTACCCACATTTAGTGGGCATGACCTGGATGAGGATACAGCAAAGGAGACTGAGTAGGAGCAGTTTTAGGCAGGATGAGAACCAGGAGGCGTGGTATCCCAAAAACCCAAAGAAAAGAGAATATCAGAGAAAGGAGTGTAATAAACAGTGTCAAAGGCTACAGGGAGGTCAAGAAGAGTAAGGACTGAGAAAAGGTCACTGGATTTGACAATAAGGAAATTACTGGTAACTTCAGAAAGCACAGTTTCTGTGTATGATGATATACTGTGAATAATGATAAAGCTAGAAACAGGATTCTAGAGAGTTAAAAAAGTGAGAGGAGAAAAAAGTGGGGCATCTATTGTAGACTGCCTTCTCAAGGAGTTTAGCCACAAAAAAGCAGAAGAGATATAGAAAGATTGTTAGCTGGGCCAGAAGGATCAATTTATGGTTTTTTGAGGCTGAGGGAGGCTTGGGCATGTTTGTAGACAGTTGAAAAGAAGCCAGTAGCATATGGGGAGAGACTGAAGACTAAGTGATAGGGTGGGGATCACAAAGGGCTTATTACATGTAAACAAACACAAACTCACACTTGACTCTACTAAAACTTTCTATGAACATCATTTTACTGTGTGGCTATCTGGTGATGCCAGTGGACCACAAGTTTTGGCATGTTTGACCAAGCACGAAGGCTTTAAGAATTCCTCCCTCAGGGCAGCTAGGTGGCACTGTGGATAGAGCACCAGCTCTCAAGTCAGGAAGACCTGGGTTCAAATTTGGCCTCAGACCAAACACTTACTAGCTGTGTGACCTTGGGCAAGTCACTTAACCCCAACTGCCTAAAAAATAAAATAAAATAAAAATAAATAAATAAATAAATAAACGAATCCCTCCCTCCACCCAATCAATAGACTATCTCCAAAAGCGGGGGCTTAACAGGTGATGAATTTCTTTGGCCACAATTCAGATGACCATCTCTTAAGTCCCAGAGGTGCTATGATTTGTATGAGTGGAGGAAGTATCAACCTGATGAAATCACAGACCTTTTGAAGTATACACACACAAATATACGTGTATATATATATGTATACCGTACATTATACCAGTAGTAAATCACATACTAGTATTAAACTACTTCAATATACTAGTATTATTGTACCACATACTAGTAATAAACTTGAGTAGGTAAGTTACACATTACCCACCAAAATAAAAACCAAAACACTTTGCTTCTCAGAGATTTGATTCCAACCAATAAAGTATCTCTCCAGAAGCTCAACAGGTAAAATAAACTTTATTGCCCCGTTGGCTACTGATTTTTGGTAACGGAAACTAAAATTTGTTTACACATATACAACAGAGTGGAAATGTCCTATAGATATCATTGAGCACAAAATGAAACAAAATATGTATTTATTCTAACACATTTTAAGTACTTTACATATAATGGTAACCAATTAACTAGGCTTCTCTCCTTGAAAAACAGATTAAGGTTAAATTATGACATTCTATAATTTTTTAAGAAGTCCTTCAACAACAATGATGTGTGTATTAATCACAACAGAATGGTTCAGAGGAACTTTCCTGAGGCTGTATCTAAGTACACCCGACCCAGAAAATATTTTTAGCAAGTGTTCAATCAATGCTGGTTTTGCACATAACCTAAATTAAAAGAGAAATTGGGTGGCATAAATTTAAAGTAACACAGTTACATGGGATTTTAAAAAGCTATTTATTAGTCCTTAAAATATATAACCACCTAATAGTTTGAGACAGGATATTCTGCTATATCTAAGCCAACCACAACCCAGAATCTATGCACACTAGAATTAAGTAATGTGAAAATCACATCATTGCTGCTTTTAAGGAAGCATCACATCCCAAATAAAGGTTTCAAATTCCCTAACTTAATAAACCTACTATATATGTACCTCAACATTAAAGGTCCTGAAAATAACCCAGTATCCGCAAAACTAAAACATTAGTATTAAAAATTATCTTAAAATTTAACATTTGATTAATATTTATGATACATCTATCTAAAATTATATGCCAAATAATACAACTGACAAACTAAATCATCTCTTCCCATGTATAAACAGCTACATTTCTCTGATCATAAAACACTGATATCCCTAAGATTATGGGGAGCATACCCAAGGATTGAAGTAACCATCAATTTGATTAAAAATGATAGTTTTTATATAATGAAAATTGTAGTGTAACAAAAATAACTTTTGGGTAAATCAGGTACGAATTACAGCCAAAAATATGGTGCACACACTATGTTAACATGAGACTGTGAGCAGTAGGAGTTTCTGTAACAATAGCTAAATATCTGCTTAAGTAAAAATGGTTTCAGTCTAAATTTGAGTTTTATTCATATTACTGAGTCAAATTCAGGATTTAGTTAACATATCTAGCTACAGCGCAACAGGCACACACTGGTTTTAAAATAAATGTATTGTGAACATAGAATTCAACATCTCTCTCCCAAAATCCAGTACTTCCTTTCAGGATTTAACTCCAGGGCGCAGAGAAATTTAGAATAATAAAATGCGTGGGTTGTTTTTTGTTTTGGTTCAAGGTTTTTTTGGGAGGGGGAGTTTGTGGTGTTTTTTTTTTTTAACAGTTCAACAACTCTCATTCGTTCTGCAATCACCCCTTTAAGATTCAGATACTTCGAGATTAACCGGGCTTTTTTTGTTCTCTTCCCTATGAATATTTTAAAAAGCTGGTAGCCAGAGAGTCCTTCGGTTTAAACTGAGGCCCAAGATTTTCTTACATTAACAGTCGAAACAATGTTACAACCTTGGATTAGATCAGCTGGAACATTACAAATCTTTAGATTCTTTTTGAACAAGTACTTTTAAAATCTCACAAGACATTCTTTTTGTGCATGATATTGATATTACACAAGTATCATAGACACCATCCCTACATGTACATACGTAACTGTAAAAGTCTTCAACTTTATGAAGACTTCAGAAAATGCACAAGCACATTTTAGCTTTTCCCTCAACTTTTTTTTTGGGGGGAGCAGTTTCTTAACCACGCATATACACCAGTAGAAGTATATGACGCCTGGAAACAAATGTTAGCCACATTCAACCCTTGCATCAATGCTTAAAAGCAAGTCACTAAACAAAAAGCATATGAAGCTTAAAACAAATAGCCACATTCAATCATTGCAGCAATGCTTAAAATCACTAAACAAGTATTAGTATATGAAGCTTAAAAACCAAGCTGATGGCAGACACGTTCTACCATGGCATCAGTGCAATCAAATTAATACAAGTCAATCAACAGAATCCCCATCAGTAATGGAAAATTCTGAAGATGCGTTACCCCTATGTTAGGTCTGGAAGATCGTCGCATCCGCCCTACCACCTTTCTTCTCCCTCGGAGCAGCCCAAAGCAGAGATTCCAAAAAACTGTTTTACTAGGGAAGGGAGTGAAAAGGCCCGAGGAAGTACTGGGGTGGGAAAAAAGTACCTTTTATTTTTTTTTGGTCTTCCTCACTACCTAGACCACTTCCACACATGCTTGGAGTATCTCCTTTAGAAACGCACACGGAGTGGAACATCCTGAGAATCACGCAAATGTTCCATGGTTGCCCGTGGGATGGGAAAAGGGGGTGAGGGCGGAGAGGAGGAAGCCTCTTACCTTCATAAATCAGTCGCGTCCTTTCGGATGGAGGGAGGGAAAATAAAAAATCTTCCGATTCCCCCTACCCCCCACCCCGGCTGGCTCTCAGTGCCCCCCGGGCAGCAGGAGCAGCCACCAGCCCCCTGGCCTCAGCAGCCAGCACCACCTCATACTGCGGGGCTTGCAGCAGCAGCACCCGGAGAAGGGAGAGGGAGGAGGGGGAGGAAAAGGAGGGAGGGAGAGGGGAGGAAAGCAATAAGGTCCTTTTACCACTCACCCCCCACCCCCCCAAATAAACTAATTTACAGCACCCTCTTCCTTAAAAAAAAATGATGAGACCCCCCAATGAGCAGGAGTGGAGGAGAACCCAGGTGATTAGGTGGAGGGGTGGAATTCACAACACCACCGTCCCAAAAAAAATCCTGATCCTCTCTCCCCAGACACTCCCCCCTCAATTCAGCCTCAAGGAGCCAGGAGTCTGGGTGGGGAAACGGACGCAAGGGAGCAGGAGAGTGTCAGCCTGAACAGGGTAGGAGCGTGAGAGACAGAGAGAGCCAGAGGAGGATCAGTCACCGCCCCCCCTTCCTCTTCCTCTTCCTCCTCCTCCTGCTCCTTCTCCTCCTCCCCCCTCAAGCTCTCCCCGTCTCCCGGGGCCGCAGCATAGCAACCGAACATGGCGGCTGCGCAAGCGCCGCCCGCTCAGCCAAGGGGAGAGGGCAGGGGGAAGGGGAGGGAGGACAGAGAACGCGGGGGGGGGAGGGGGAAAGAGAAGGGGAAGAATCTCGCGAGAGGAGGAAGCCCTTAGCCCAATTCGGTCCCCGGCTTGGGGGAGGGGAGGAGGTTGCGGCAGGCGAGGGAGAATGTAGGGACGCGCAGGTGCGAGAAGACGAGGTGGGGGGGAGAGAGAGTGGGTTCTGTAACTCCGCCCCTCACTCTCCGAGCTTTGAGGTGATTGGACAGATGTTCCGCCTCCGCTTGGCTACAGCCAAGCGGAGAAGAGGTTGCCGGACAGACTGAGGTTAGACAGTAGCTGCAGCCCCAGGGCATACGTGTCTCAGTGCCAGCAGTGCTGCCCACCAGAGCATGCAGCCCTAAAATAAGAGATGCAGTAAACAAAAGCCAGATTTTAAAAAAAACCACACAATTCAATTTTATAACACAGATGAATCTGGTGTTTTCGTTATGACCGTGGGGAAGTTAACCAATAAGAACATACTAAAAAGTGAAGGAAGTAACTCCTGTTCATCTAGGTGCAACTCACATAAGGAAACTAAGCCGATTCCTGAGAGAGCAGATTGCTTGCCCAAGGTCACAAAGCTACTTCCTAGCAAATCCAGAATTCCAGCTCAGGTCCCCTGATTCCCAAGTCTAGGCATTGCCACTCCACCAACCTACTTCCTCTATTGCTGACAAATAATCGGCGAAAACCTGCTGACATTCATTATTGCCTGGACCACCTGCCCTTGAGATGCTTATGAAAATGTAGCATATTGGGATTTGCTATCATCACTAGGGAGTGAGAAAGATCCGAGTTCTGGTCCCCCTACAGATAACCAAAAGCAAGTCACAACCCCTCAAGACTGGCAATTCTCTAAGACTGCAAGTGGCAGAAAGTTGCCCAACTGCATCAAAAGGATACAGTTTCCACACGGAGAATTCCCTACATTGATAAAATTTATCGGTCTGAACCAAAACCAAAACCAAAAAGCATCATCAGGAAAATAGTAGTAGTAAATGGATCTGCTCTTGAAGCAAACCAAGTGTCACAGTGGTACCTACAAAATATTAAAAGAACTGGAAGAAGGGCCTATTGTGTTGTATGGTTCCTTTATGGAAGATTATGGAAATGCATAAGATCAGAGGTAGCTGGTTATAATCTGTACCACTGAAGGGAGTAATCATGCCCATGAAATCACAGATCCATTGACGTCCTTAAGTGTGATGGGTCTCTTCCCATCAAAGTACTACTTTGAGGCTTCATGGTGGCCCAGTGATGACCCTCCATTCTGAAACTTAGGGTCAGTTTTGCACAAGCTCTAAGGATTTGTACTACAGGCCCCACCAGCCTGTATTCTGAAGATGAGGCTAGCTAAGTTTAAAAAGACTCACCGTTATAAGTTCAACTAGCAAATGATGATTATTTTCAGCCACAGCAGCCCATGAAGAAAGTAGTAAAACACAGAGGAGTTTTAAGCTGCCTCAGTGGGAGATGAAACTACACTAAGAAAGTCAGTCAATCAATCAATAAGCATTAGAGTATGGCAGAAACTAGGCATAGACCAAAATCTCACACCATATACAAAGTCAAAATGGGTTCATGATTTGGATATAAAGGCTGATACTTATAAGCAAACTGGGAGGGCGAGGAATAGTTTACCTGGAAAACAGAAGAATCCATGACCAAACAGGAAATATAGAACATGACAAAATGCAGAATGGATAATTTTGATTACAATCAATAAGCAACTACTTGACAGGCACTGTGCTAAGCACCCGGGGTTTCAAAGTAAGGCAAAAGACAGTCCCTGTTCTCAAGGAGTTCACAGTTCAATGGAGAAAACATTATACAATGGAAAAAACTATGTACAAACAAGGTATAGACAGGATAAACTGGAGATAATCAGAGGGAAGCAATAATATTAAAGGGGAACAGTAAAGGGTTTCTCAGAGAAGTTGGGATTTTAGCAGGGACTTGGAGGAAGCTAGGAAAGCCAGATGGTTGAGATGAGGAGAGAAAAGTATTCCAGATAGGTGAAAATGCCTAATCTGGAGATGCAGTTCTTGTCTCAGGGACAGCAAGAAAGCCTCTGTCACTAAAAAGGAGAATGGGGGCAGAGAATAAGGTGTAAGAGCAAGTGTCTAAACACAAGGTGTTGAGGGACAAAATTGTTAGCCTGATATTACAGGAAAAGCACTGAGCTGAGTGCTGGGAGTGAGTGAGATGACAGAAAAGAATCCCTGCTCTCTGCTGGGGAGTATCATAATCACAGAATCTCCAAGTTGAACCTCAGTTTCCTCACCAATAAAATGTTTTGAGGAAATTGCTTTGTAAACCTTAAAAGCGCTAAATAAATAATTTGAGTTACTATGATGAGTACATAAGAGGTGTACAAACAAAATAGAAGGGCAGAGGAGAGAAAGATAACTACTAAACTTCGGAGTCTCAAAATTGGTGCCTTTACATTTACCACTCTGAAATCTGAACTCGCTACCACATGACCCCCTCCTCTGGGTTATCCCTTCACACTGCCTCTGGCTGTTCATATCTACCCCAACCCCTACCCCACACAATTCTGCAGCTCACCTAGGCCTTCCCTCTCCCCATCCCCCATTCTGTGAACTGAAATGACTCCAACCTAACCCCCAACTCATCAAAAATTTCCATTCCATTCACTCAGCTTGTCAGATCTCAACTAAGTGAGAAGGAAAGCAATCTGAATAAACTAAGTTATGGCTAATGACTCACTGCCATTAATCTTCCTGGAAGTATCTGCATTTTAAAAAGACTAACTGGTGGAATTTCAGGCTGAGTGAGGGAGATATTCTGAGTGAGAGAAGGAATGTTTTACAAGCTACTTAAATGTCAGCAGGTAGGAAATAGCCTCTTTGCAAGGCTAGCCCCTTTTAAAAGTTCTGCCTTCTTAATCTATGTCAAAGCAAGATAGATACCCCACACTCCCAGGATGTACACAAAGTGATTCAGCATGGATATACTTATGTATATGTAAAAATAGAAAAGTCACAAGGTCATAGGCTTAGAGCCGGAAGGGATTTTAGAAGTCATCTCAGGGGCAGCTAGGTGGCGCAGTGGAGTCAGGAGGACCTGGGTTCAAATTCTATCTTAGACCAGACACTTGATAACTTACTAGTTGTGTGACCCTGGGCAAGTCACTTAACCCCAATTGCCTCTCAAAAAAAAAAAGGCATCTGATCCAACCTTTTGATTTTACAGATAGGAAACTAAGGCCCACAGAGTTAAGTGAATGAATAAATGAATGAAGCATTTGTTAATTGCCTACCGTATGTAAAGCACTGTACTTAGCACTGGGGATAGTCTCTGCTATCTGAGAACTTACATTCTAATAAGGGAGACAACAAAGTAGATAGCAATGCCTTGTATCATTTCCTCAGGTTGAACTGTTTGACAGTGACAATTTGACAATTCTTTTCTGGGTCTTCAGTAACTATGGCTATAGCATCTGCAGGAAGCAATATTGCCAGGCTGCACCTCCAAAGGGATTGCTTCCCAGGATGATGGTGGCAATCTCTGCCCTGTAAGCATCACTTCCCAAAGCTTTTGGGTTCAAGGTCCCAGACTGTCTCATCTGAGAATCTGAGGGGAGATAATGGTCAAGGTGGTGGTCGTGGCTTGGATGCCTGGTATAATGCTATTTGGTGTGATACCTTGCTGCTTCAGATAGCCTGGTTTTTGCTGGCCTTGTATGGAGCACTTTGTTGGTTTGCTCAGGGGTCACATAAGTGATAGAGGCAGAATTCAAACCCAGGTCCTTTGACTCCAAATCCAGCACATTCTAATCTGCTCCCTCAAAGGCAAAAGACGAACTTCATTTCTTTGTTATTTATCTTGTATGTTCTAATTTATATATGCTTTCTTCCCCATGAGAATATAAATACCTTGTAGGTAAGAAGTGCTTTTGTATTTTCTTTGTACATCTGGTGATGGGCATGTAGTAAGTGCTTAATAAATGTTTGTTGACTGATTGATTCATTCACAGTTACACCTGATGTACGGGCCCACCAGATTTATCTTTCTAAAACATTACTTTCTTTATGATACTCTCTGTTCAAAGACCTTCAAAGGCTTAGCACTCCCTACCAGACAAGAATCAAAATTCAAGCAAGATCCACCATGATTTTGTTCCAACCTCTTTTTCCAAACTTATTCCCTAACACCTAATCTTTTGCTCCATCCAAAAGTATTATGAGGATGGTCGTCTCCTCACTATCCCTCTAATTCAATTCAATTTAGCCAACATCATAAAGTCTCACCTCTATATCTTTACTCATGGTCTCCCTTGATGCCATCTAAATCCTCCATCTAAATCCTAAGACTCAGCTGAAGTCTCACTTCCTCCATGAAGCTTTCTAAGACCACAGTGATCTCATCTTTGACTGAGAATGGATAGCACTTACTGTCCCACTCATTTAGTTCTTAACATTTACTGCCTAATCCTCTAATAAATCAGGAAGCTGGGAAGATCTAGACTCAAGTCCTATTTCAAACACTTCTGTCTGCAACCCAAGGCAGATCACTTAACCTCTCAGTGCCCCAGGTAACTGTCTAAGAAGACTTTCAAGAAATAAAGGAGATGCTGACCTGCATTATTAGAGGCATTTTCTCCCAAGGAGCTCCCTAAGCTGATGAAATCACAAGTCTAATTAAAATCAGTCTTTAAAAGTATTCTCTAATGTAGATCTATTTTTAAAATTTCAGGGTTCAAATAAAACCTCTGACACTCATTAGCTGTGTGGCCCAGAGTCAATCACATAATGTCTGTGTGCAGAAGGCAATTCTAGGACTTATCTAGTTAAGTCCTAGAAAATCGCTAACCTGCATTGGTACTGGAAGTTGATTGGTACCT